ATGTAGTTCCTGGATTTCTGCTCGAATTATGTCATATAGCTTCATGGTCGAAACGCTGCTATCCTGTACGAAATCATGGCTTCTGCATTAAATCATGCGTCTTTAAAATTGATAGCAATTGCTTTTTGCCAAAGTTTCGCGTGCCAGATTTGGCATTTTCTACAATTGCCAAGAGTATATGCTGTCGGCATTGTTATGATTGGTCACTCACTCCGTTCGTTGTGAAAAATTCTGCGGTAATGCTAGCCTTCATCCAGTAGGAAAAGCAGCTGTCGGAAAAAGCGTACTACCGACAAGCCTCACCGTTTAATCTATAGAACATCGTGCGGTACCGTGATCTATAATCTGATACATACTGTGCCTCGAGCCAGCTGTTTACGAACGGCACACTTTTGTTGAAAGTCTAACGAGGATGTCAGAGAAGCAAACGGTGCTACTGCTCTTGATGATGACGATTGTGAATAGCGATGCTGATCCAGTTTAGAAGCGATCTTTTTATCTATAGACAGCTTTTGATTGGTCGGTATCGCGCGGTTTATGCTTTGCCTTCTAGCTATAGTTATAGTAGCCGTTGCCTGCCCAGTGCAATAGGGAAAAAGTACGTACGGTAATAAAGTGGCCGCCAGCATCGTTCTGCTGCTATGCCCTACTCTAAGTGGTTTGGCCGTTCGCCGCTTAACGCCGCACTTGCTAACCAGTTATTGTCAATTGACATTTTGTGCACGAACATAATACAGCAGGGGTATGACCAAATTTGGCAAGCCACAATCGATATTTGCGTGACAAATTGCCACGCAGTAATTACAGTAGCGACGATTCAATAGTCGAGGCCCATCTTCGGTAATCCCTCTGCTGGTAGTGGTTACTTGCCTCGACTCGCCTTTTTTTGGCAGAAACCTTACCCCTATTTAAGCCAATCCAATATCGGCGCAGCAAACTATGCGTTTAAGTGGAGCACTCGAAGAGCATGCTATCTGTCTGTTATCCTTGAATGATCAAGGTAAGCGATGGGCCGCTTTGATGAGCTAAATGGAACCAGTCACTTTCACAGTCATGGCAGTCGTTAAACCAGCAAGCATTTTATTATGTATAGCTTCTTGTGATTATGGCATTTAGAAGAAGGGTCAGTCAAGTAAACAGAAGGTATTATGAGAAACACAACAGCTCGCTTGGGAGGTATATCGGCACTTCTTTTGATTATGTTGTACAGGGGCGTTAGGGATAGGACGGGCCACGTTCCTACGGTTTGCTTGTCATAGCAGGAATCTGTCTGCTCAGTTGTCTAGTATCTCTTTACATGCGAAAACAAACCCAGTCTTTTCTAAAACAGAACCACAGAGTTACCATGTCAGTGGTAGGTAGCTCGTGTTCGGAATAGGAGAGAAAATTCGTTCTAGTTTAGGGCCCTACCGAGATCTTTGTTGCCCAAAATCGACGGTACACACTACTGATCTCCAAAGGTTTCTGTGAAGCAGAACACAAGATCAACTATAGAGATATATTCAAAGGTTTTGAATATTCATAAGTAATAATCACATTAGACCCACGTGTTGGTGAAGGATGTTTTTCTGATGACACATGCAGACAATTGAATTCAGTTAGTTTCTTTCTTTTTTTTTAGATGCAGCTGGTATGCTATGTATGGGATTCTTTCTAATCTATATGTATGACACATTTAGTTAATTCTAAGAAGAAAAATACAAATTATAACAATAGCTCGGAGCTATTTTCGATTGTATCGAAAATCGTAATACGGTCCTATGGGCCGGATGCCATTCGTTGCGACTCACTCCTTCAGATACGCTTAGTGTAATTTCAGCCTCATTAATCAACTTTTTTTTTGCTGTCTTTTATCGGAAGAAGAATACTTACAACCTCTGCGTCGCCAGCATTTCATAGGTTGACAGTGATTCGCTAATATTAAGTAAGTTCCTGTTGTTGATGTTTCCGTATATATCGGAAATCGACGGCACGAAGACGCTGTGCCCACGAAACGCTGAATGCCAAACCGGATTAAACCTCTTCCCATATGGATCATAAAAATCATAGCTAGCACATAGATACTGCTGACAGGCTATAGGAGTAATGAATCTTCCTGTTTTCTTTATTTTTCAAAGGGGTGTTTTATCTATCGTATTTTACGATTACTTGTTTCCTGGTAAGACACTCTCCTTCGTTTCTTGCTAGCCCTGCGTGGCAAACAAACTTGCCAGATGATCTTTTTCGGCTTGAGTGGTAGCTCAATCTTGGATTAACGTATTCCATCTGTAACTTCCTGATCGTTAAGTATTCTCGTTACTTTACGTTGGCAAAAAAAACGCAGCCCTCTATTCCCATCAGTTGTTGGACAATAGGAATGGCGGTGCATCTGTCTACCTCGTCATGTTACAGCCATCGATTCGATATATGGCAGCGAGCTCAGGCCGATAAGCGCACATCATTTGGCCTATATTTTTCTCAACATTCTTCTACAATTAACCTAAACAAGACGACTCATCTGTTATCTCTGTGTTTCGAGTTATACGTCCGGTGTCGTTGTTAGGCATTTCATCAAACGGCCAGCTCCCGGCATGGAACGAACCGTGTGTCTATGTTCGGACCACAGCGTGTCAAACCCGAGACGTACTCTGTGTCAGCGACGCCACAGAACACTTCATATATCGTCTTTGCCTTGCGCATCGTCGAATACGTGTCTGAGTTGTGTTCAGTTTTGTACAGCTCACACGAACGGGTTCGCGAGAGCAGCTTGTGCTGTCAGGCCAAGCTCGCAGGCCTATCCGTCTGCCCAGATATCAGTCGTGCGCAGGCTGCAGGACTGCGGCCTGCGCATGAACGGTTTCGAATATTTCATTGAGCTTTTCATTATCGCCGCCACTGCATCCTTGACTGCGAAAAATATGATAATAGCCCGAGCAACTAACGAGATTTATTACGATGTTGGCAACTAATAATGGCTAGAACTGCTTTTAGTAAAATATTCGTGCTATTTCGCACAGTTCCGGTTGTCGCTTTAATTCGCTAAAACAGTTGTTAATTTTCGGCAATAGATTTCTTACTGGCACAATGGGATCGCAGAACTATCGCGGGCTCTTGCGTAAGTAATACCTCCCCCACGACTGATAACGAATGAAATCTTATTTGGTAAAACTTATAGGTTTTCAGGCAGCTAGAAACTCAACATTCAAGAATATCGCTGCTTGGAAATAAGCCACAGTTGCAAAGGATTACGCTACGGATCATTTCTAGCACAAGCTGCAGCTGCAGTCAGTCCGATCGAACGTATAAAATAAGTTAATCTAATTACTTTGCTCTTTAGGGCATAGCTAACTGATTAAGGACTAGTAAAATACGTATGATTTATGGCAGATTTGCCCAAGCAACGCCAGCAGAATCAAACCCAAGGGAACTTTTTCCAGCAAACAGGCAGGAAGCTAACGAACGGTTGGATGAAATAATCGTTCTTCTACCCTTTTCCACCTCGAATTTTGTTGCCTGACTTTGTCGGATGATTTTCTGTATTCCGCGCGACGTCATGTACCAAATTGGTTTTAAGATTCCCAAAACGTGTAGAAGTTAGAGCAGAGATTTGACTACATATTTTGAACTCCTTCATTGCCTCGAACCTTTTTTTTGTCTTTCCCTGACGTTGAGATCGTACGCAATACGCATAAATGGTAAGCATGGGCAGCGCACAAATTTACTGATAGCTCTACTCAGTCGTCGAAATTTCCAGTGAAACAAACGCTACTGCCGTCACACTGTATCTTTCGTTGGCTTTAGATTAGATTGAAAGCTTCCAATTCGGTTTTTTAAGCGCCTAAATAATTTAAGGCAATAATTAAGGAAAACAAGATAAGCAAAATTGATCATTAATTTTCGATATTTACTTACAGCGTTTCATCGTTTTCGCCGTACGCATTTTTATAGCATGATTACGAAATGTTGGAACTTTCGTAGTAGTCGGAACGATTATAATAAGAGCATGAAATGTTCTTTCAGTAAACGAAGCGTTGGTCAAGTAAACTTTCTGGTTCTGTAACAGGCTGTTGCGCGTCAATTAAGTCGGCGGCCAAAATCCGTTATGGGCTGAATGTGACTGGCCGTGATTTATTACAACTAAAAAAAGCGAGTATCGTAGCAAAGCATTGTCCTGCCTCTGCAAAAGATCGCCTTTAATTAGCAATTGATAAGTGTAGAAGAACTTGGACTTAGATAGATTATATATGCAGTGTTTTCCAGTTGTGGCCTAATTTCGATTCTCTGCGCCACTTTAGATAAGGACATGTGTTTATGTAAAGTGTCGCACGTGTTGTTTGTCCAGGACGATGAACTAGCTTTATAGTATGCACAGACAAGCAACAATTACTTCCAAGGAAACTAAAAACTCTCCGTGAAAGATTTATATTTTCAATACCCTGCCATGATATGCGTGAATTATCGTTTTCTCTTTATTCGAAGGAATCAAACCTAAGTAGGAAGTCCTTCGATGACGGCTTGTACGACTGAATACTCGTTTCTGGATCGTTATATTAATTGATGATGCGAACATATTTCCTATCCTAACAATCAAGTCACGAGTAGTCGTCCGCATATCGTCTGCTGCGTCATCCTTTCTTTCTTTCTTATTGCAAGTCTTACTTGGTCAGTTCTACGATGCGGCGGCATATCAACTTCTATACAACTATACGAGCAGCGCTCGATGGCAAATGGTGAAGTTTCTGATTGAGAAACGGTTGACTCAGTGAATTATGCAGTAGTCGTCCGACAACTCGCAATGTCAACAAAGGTCATAAGCACCGATCTACGCCAATGTCAAACTCTACCGACAACCGCTTACCGCAATTTATTTAACACTGAACTTAAACTGTTAAGTACAGCTTTTTATACCTTCTTTGAACTTAACTTTTCAAAGCCGTGTTTTTATCTCTAGGCTAAACATTTTTATTCATCTGTGCACATGTCTCTGCGCCGTCCATATCTAACTGTCATCGTTTTTTTAGGCGGTCGAGAATAACAGTCCAGCATTCGATGCAGGCTTACGCCCTGGCGATCTGATCACGCACATTAATGGGGAGCCGGTGCAGGGTCTTTTGCACCCGCAGGTTGTGCAACTTATTCTCGCTGGTGGAAACCGCATCACGATTCGTACAACGCCTCTCGAGGCCACCTCTATTAAAAGTGGGGGTCGACGAAGAAATCCCATGGCGAGCCGATTGGCTCGAAGGCCACCTCGTCATCAAAAGGGTCCAGGGGCCGGAAACGCGGCCTCCACACCGCCTTCATCTAGAGCCGCTGGTCAACATGGTATTCCAGGTAGGAGATAAAAGCTCGTAGAATAAAGACATCGTCTGTCATATTTACTCTTCAGTTAATGTATAATTATAACGTTTCGACTTGGAATGGATGATTTCTTCTTCCTGATGATTCGCTTTTTAACGTTTTCGAGTTTCAGGTTTAAATGAAACGTATTTGAGCAGTGCCGCGGGCCAAAATGCTTTCAGCGAGAGCTACTACAATCGGTCTTTTTGATTAGGATATGCATGCTGCATTTCATGTTTTCCCTACTTGAGTGTATAACAATGATGCGCCACGATGCCGACGACGTAGACACACCTGCGACGGATTTTAGATTTGTTTATTGAAACTTATCGAGCGAAGCTCCCTGTTGGCTATAATTTGCAGCCTGATATAAAATAGCCTTGCACAATTGTCTTAGTGCTTGCTTGCTTTCTTTTATTTTTTTGAATCTGATTGCCTAAACAGTCGACAACAGCGCTAATATAACGATCGACATATTTTTCGTGCGTTTTTTTACTTCTTTGTATTTTGCTCTCTTCCACTTTCGTAGGGGTATCACGTAGCAATGATGAACGCAAACGTCGCACCTCGCTCATTCGGCGCATCAACTCCCGCAGTCGCGACTTGACTCTGTCAAGGTCTTTTCAGAGCCTGCAGCAGCAACAGCCCCCGCCACCGTCATCGTCGATATCACAGACATCATCGTCATCATCGGCACAATTACAAAGTCAAAATCAGCAGACACCTTCGGTAGTCACACAGTCCGCAACGGCGCTGCTGCAACACTCACAGGAGCCTTTGCATACTGCACATAGCCCACACACCCCCGGTCTTTCCCTATCCCAAACGCAAACCCCGTCGGATTCATCACGCTCGACAACGGGCAACTCATCACCGTCATCGTCACCCGGATCAAGCGCACCTAATTCGCCCGCCGCTCAGACAGGAGCAGCTGCTACCTCGACTGGTGGGAATAGCAACGGCGGAAGTAGCGGTAGCCCTGGCACGCCGCACTATACTCAGCGACCATCAACGCTCTGCGGGCTTAAACACAAACTGGCACAGACGTTCCGTTCGCCGCGGCGCAAGTCCGTTGGCCACATTCCGTTGTCACCACTGGCACGAACCCCTTCGCCGCTACCCCCAGGCGGAGTCAGTCCTACCCGATCACCATCCCCGCTGGCCTACCCTCACGGGCAGGTCCCGCCACCTCACGGTCCCAACCCACATGGACCCGCTGGATCGCACGCTTCTCACGGAACGACAGGAGCCGGTCCTAGCCATCCGGGGATGCACGGCAGTCCCGCGGCTGCCGGTAGCGCTGCGGCAGGAGGAGTGGTGGCAGTAGGAGGAGCAGTAGCAAGTGTTAATGTAGGTGGCGGTGTCATGTCAACACCCCTCCTGCCAAGTTTATCCGGTTCCGTCGCCGTTAATCCCCGCCGGCAAGGACTTATGAGACCCAAAAGTGCGGAGCCTTCGTCTCCCCTGCTGCGGCGCGCGCTTTCACCCGATCGAGTGCACAAACCGCATGCGCACACATTGCACCACGGCCATCATGGCCTGTACGGTTCAATGGGGGACGGCAAGGGTCTAGCCTCACCTCTGGTTCTATCCTCGACGCCTGGCGCGGGTTCACCCCCGCTTATTACGAAGTCGTCGGCAAAGACTCAAACGCAGATCCCCAAGTCTGCATCGATCACAGAATGCCTCGAGGTGCCGCAGCCCACGCGGTTGCGGAGTCATTCACAGGGAACGACAGAGCAATTGCAAGTGCCCCTGTTCACAGTGACGCCCTCGACACCCTCGGACAATGCCCCCAAGGCCCCCCACACGCAGCCGCAAGCCTCGATTGAAACAGCAGCTAAAGGCAACAACAACAATAAGAATAGTTTCAACAATAGTATTACTTCTAGTTCAGCTGTTGCATGTTGCCCAAGTTCTGCCGGCAACAAAAATACTTCCCCGACGACAGCGCTCATAACAAACCCACCGGCTGCCCAATCTTTCCAACAACATCCAATAGGACCAACACTAAGCGTTACCTTAGTCGGTCAACAAGAAGCCGTGGGGTCCCAAGCGACTATCATACAGATGAACGCAGACCGTTTCGACTCGGAGGGCCATAGGGGTTCTGAGGAAAATAGGCAACAATAACGTGAAGCGCTGTCATCAGTGACATTAACGAATGTCAATTATATAAGAATTAAAAACAAAAGTCGTAGATAACGTATAACCGAACAGCACCTTGTGTCCAGTCAGTAGTACGACTACCTGCGTAGATGAGTGAAAAGTTTTCCGCGTTTTCCCTCGCGATTCTTCCATCGTCTTTCGTCAACAACGAAGTCGACTGAACAAACGAAATCAACCGATCATACTGTCTAGCAGAAACTGGACTAGGTATGACGGACTCAGACGTGGAATCACAGAATTCGATCACGCAGACATCGTATGAACATATCCCGTATCCGTCACACATGGAACTGTCGGTGCGCACTCTTTTAAAGGTGCAAACATAGGTATTTTGATCTTCGGTTAAGTCTGGATTGCCATGGCTGAAAGAATAAGAATAAAAATAACAACAACGAGCACAGAGAAAATACCGACCGTTGAGCACAGTTGCGTGGAGCTTTCATTGGGACCTCCGCAACCAGTCCACAGCACGCATCACACATTGTTCGAGACATTAGGAAGCAGTCCGTCCTCGTTGATCATTGCACATTATAATACAATCGAAACTCATGCGTAATAGAACTACTGCGGGATAAAGCGTGATTCGAAGCGATGCATGACGTGAAGCGCCAGCGTGACGCATCAATAATTAATAAAGAGGAAAACAATTAAGAAAGGAGCAGGAGGTAGATTTCTAAAAAACAGACTTTCCCTCTATGAAGCCCCGCTGGAAGAAAGTCAAAGTAAAGCTAGTTGTTCACAACAACAAAAGTGACGAGCAGCGAAAATGCGACCCAACCACAAAAACTACCCGGAAATCCATATCGGTTGGCGCACCGCGTCCAGCTGTGTTCTTTCTTTAATCAGCATCCTCTTCTAACTCCGCTCGTTTCTGACGTATGACGACAGTAGATCAACCGTTGCCGTAAGATCGATTTTATTTCAGACGACAGCTGCAATACGTAACCAAATACGTCTCTATAGAGTACAATATCTTAAGCCACTTGGTCCCGTACCTGTTCGTATAGCACACACCGCATATGCAACTAAACGATTTGAAAGTTGTTTTCCCATTAGCGACAACGAGAAAAAATGTCACATCGGTCAATGTGATAGTCTAGCGAATACGCCAAAAGCTGTGGCGAGCGAGAGACAGTCCACCCCGCCGCAATTAGCTCAGGTTTTTGTTGAAGATCTGCGCATCTTTCTATCGTCGGAGGAGTTATTACAGTCACGCAATAGATGACGATAATGAAAATAGCATTTATTCCATTACGCAGAACAACAGCTTATAGCAGTGATGTGTGAATACATACCCACAGAAGGCTCCTTTTACCGTAAGAAGACGTAAGCGCCTTGACAAAGTCGCTGGTCAGCGCAAACGTCGACGACAATTTAAAGAGAACAGAAACAACGACGACACATGCGGCAAATGTCCATATGAAGAATTCGGGAGGTGAAATCGGTTCAGATAGATCGTCGATCGCAACGAGATGATAAATGCTGATCAGCGAAATGTGCCGATAACGTAATAAAGTTCCGTGAACGGTGTGTTACTCAGAGATATCTGTATCCAGGATTAACTATA